CCTATTCTTCTTGGTATACTTTAACATTACAGTCATGTGGGATTCCAAAAATGGAAGAAATCAGAAGAAAATCAACTAGCTATATCCCCAAACAGATGTGAAAATGTTAACAGTACTAAAAGGTTTGGTGAACTTTTTACTATGAAAGAATGAAATTATCATTTTGAGAATCATGGAATTATTGGAAAGGAAATGGTGAAAAGTCATTGTTGTCTACACAAAATAAATACATATGGAGACCAAAGCCCAATGGAGGCTTTTATTTTCTAACTATTGAGTGGCCAAGACCTATTGTATTTTTACAAAGCAGAGATTAATCTTGTTCTGTTTCCAAGAATGCTGACATATATGAACGCAATTAAATGAATTTTCCTGAATCTAAATCTAAGTGGTTTCAATGTTCATTGCAGCTCTATTTACAATAGCCAGGACATGGAAGCAACCTAAGTGTCCATCGACAGATGAATAAAGAAGATGTGGCACGTATATACAATGGAATATTACTCAGCCATAAAGAGAAATGAAATTCAGTTATTTGTAGTGAGGTGGATGGACCTAGAGTCTCTCATACAGAGTGGAGTAAGTCAGAAAGAGAAAAACAAATACCGTATGCTAACACATATATATGGAATCTAAAAAAAAAAATGGTTCTGAACCTAAGGGCAGGACAGGAATAAAGACGCAGATGTAGAGAATGGACTTGAGGACATGGGGAGGGGGAAGGGTAAGCTGGGACGAAGTGAGAGAGTAGCATTGACATATATACACAACCAAATGTAAAATAAATAGCTAGTGGGAAGCAGCCGCATAGCACAGGGAGATCAGCTCAGTGCTTTGTGACCACCTAGAGGGGTGGGATAGGGAGGGTGGGAGGGAGAGGCAAGAGGGAGGAGGTATGGGGATATATGTATATGTATAGCTGATTCACTTTGTTATAAAGCAGAAACTAACACACCATTGTAAAGCAATTAATACTCCAATAAAGATGTTAAAAATAAATAAATAACTAAATCTAAGTGGTTTGAGTGAAGGATTTTTAATTTCTCATGATCATTAGTTCTAAACTTCTAGGGTCATTCTGTTTATGTTAAATGGCCTTATTCCATCCTTCTGTTCTTTTTTTGTTATGACATGGTTCAAGGTTACCACTGCCATAAGCATTGATTCATGCCATGCTTCCCATTAACTTGGCTCTGTTAATTCTGTATCACTCTAATTAGCTGAGGCCCATCTTTACTACAGTATTCAATTGGTAAAATAATCTATTATATTCATGTTGTTGTTTCTTATGTAAAGATGTGTTTTCTTTAGTCTCTGTGATAGAAATAAAACTATCATTTTCCCATTAAAAAAAAACAATAATTTTGTTCTCTAACCCTTCCCAATGCCTCAGCCAACTCCATTCTACTGGGTTCTTCCTTCTCTGGTCCCCCTCATCAATCCCAGCGTCAGCCTCATGACTTTTTTGATCACTACCAGGTCTTTGGTGACCTTAGTATTCCACATGATCAGTGTTCAGTAGTTTGTATGTCTTGTTCAAGGTAATAATCACAACTCTAACCTTCTTTCAGTGTCAAAGCCTCTCCCTTCCCCCAGTTCAGGCCTGGCCCAGGCTGAAGCCTGCAGTAGGAAAGGGGAGCAAGGTGCGGTATGATGCTTCCACTGGGAATCAGCCAGCATTTGCTTCCCTCCCCTTTTGCAACCACTTGTCCCCCAGGGTCTGTTGAGCACAGGGAGGAACCAGAGGTCAGGGTCACAACCAATCTCCCTATCTGGATGCAGTTTAGCAGCTGTTTAAATCTGACTGTTTAAATTTTGTCCCTTGCTGAGGTGTTTCATGGCTACTTTGGAGACCACATCTCTGGGCCTTGAGTCCCTGTAGTTCCGCAACACATAGCCTCCACACAGGGGAGAACTCCCCCTACCTTCCCAGTCACTCCCATTTTAAATTTATTTATGATTCTGACTTCTTCCCACTGTCTCTCTCAAACCTCAAGGGAGACAAATCAAGACCCCCAAGTGGCCTTCTTGAAGCCCTAATTACCCTAGTAAATCAGGGCACTTTCCACTTGTAAACGCAGCAGCTTTTCCAGCTTCTCTCAAGAGGGCCCCTCTTGACTCCAAATCCCCCAGACTCTATGTGAGTAAACATTCTCCAAAGGTGAGTAGCCAAAGTTCACATGTCTGTGGCCTTCGGGTAGCATGGAGAAGGGTCAGAAGTACAGATGGCACATGAACAAATAACACATCAAACCAAAAAACGTGGAAACAGCTTCAATTTTAAGGTTACATCAGGGAAAGACTTATTGATCCACACCATTTTCTTGGATTTTTCATAATCCTCGAGGATTATAAGGTGGGTAAGTCACATGACTTTTAGGTAAAGGCCAACTCCACCATGGTGTTCTTTTTGTTCTTTTTTGCGGTACACGGGCCTCTCACTGTTGTGGCCTCTCCCGTTGCGGAGCACAGGCTCCGGACACGCAGGCTCAGCGGCCATGGCTCACGGGCCCAGCCGCTCTGCGGCATGTGGGATCCTCCCGGACCGGGGCGTGAACCCGTGTCCCCTGCATCGGCAGGCGGACTCTCAACCACTGCGCCACCAGGGAAACCCGCACCCTGGTGTTTTTTGTGTCAGCGTCCACAGCCACTTTGTCAGCTCCTCATCATTTCTGTGCCTCCCCAGTTGCCTACCAAGTAAAAAGATCAGCATGTTTTTGGAGGCCAGGGCGGGTTTTAGGTATTCATCTGCCATCCTTCTCATGATGGGTGTGGGCGTCCTGGGACTGATTTCAGAGGCTTCTATCCATGACTGGTTGATGCCACAAATGGCTTCAGGGAGACAGCACGACTGAGAAAACCTGTGAAAGATGATGGAATCCAGAATTACCTGTAGGAAAAATACCAAGTGGCCCCAGAAGCCCCTCTGCATTTCCATCTCCCTAACACACACGTGTCCATGTGTAGACACACACACGCACACACACACACACATTTGATCACAAGATACTGCCTTGAGGCAACATCTGATTTGAAATGCCAGCTTTATCATTTCTTTGATTCCCACATATATATGAAATTATTTTTAGAATCTCTATTTTGTTCCATTGACATACTTAACCAATTCCTGTTTCAATTACTAATTCTATAAATTTTAATATATAGTATGACACCTCCCCCCCGCCCCCGGACTAATCCCTCACATTTTCTCTTCAAGGTAATTTTATAATCTACTCCTCCAGTTCCACATACACAATCAAAATCCTGTTGTAATTTATGACTTGGATTGCACTGAATTCATAGATTAATTTAGAGAATAATTGACACCATTCCAAAAATTAGTCTTCCTTTCCAAAAGAAAGTTATTTTAAAATATTATTTTAGTGTCCAAACAGGAAGCTCATAAAAAGTTTCATGTATATTTTCCCTATGCTTTTTTAAAAGTTACTTATATCTATAGGTGTTTTATAATGCTTGGGATATTTTGAACATGACATTTTATTTCTATTTCCTAATTATTAGAAGAGTATGCAAAATTTATTTATTTTTTATGTGTTTAACTTATGTCAACCAAGCTTTCCTGATCTACTTGCCTTGGTTTTTCCAGGAAGGCAAACCCTTAAGAAAAAGATAGGGCTTCCCTGGTGGTGCAGTGGTTGAGAGCCCGCCTGCCGATGAAGGGGACATGGGTTCGAGCCCCGGTCCGGGAAGATCCCACATGCCACAGAGCGGCTGGGCCCGTGAGCCATGGCCGCTGAGCCTGCGCGTCCGGAGCCTGTGCTCCGCAGCGGGAGAGGCCACAACAGTGAGAGGCCCGCGTACCGCCAAAAAAAAAAAGAAAAAGTCAGTTTTGCCACTTCCTTTTGTTAATAAAATACTGTACACTAACAACAGTTCTCATGCCTCTCTAATTTCTTTTAGACACTGAACACAGTATCTTAGTGATTTTTCCATGGTTCTATATGGAATGGGAGGAAATCTGGATGCCTGAGCCTTCTCTGCCACTCAAGGAAGGGAGTGTTTGACCTGGGTCCATCTCATAGACCTCCATGCCTCAACTTTCTTCAGTTGTCATATAAGATTGACCACAGTAGGGTCACCAGTGTAGGAATATGTTAAATTTCATCATAATAGTCACGTTAGACTCTTAGGACAGCACTAATAATAAAAAAAACCCCACCACTAACAACAAAGCCCTGTCCTCACCATTACCCCTCTTATAGCCTGTGAGAATCCATGTCCTACTGATAGACAATAGCCACTAGGATCACTCATTAATGTTAACTATATTGCTCCATAGCAGAGACTTGCAAGGTAATACGGCTTGAGAAGTATGGTTACTCATAGCCAAAATTTCTACAAGTAAACACCCCACTTCTGAATTGTGTGTTATTAAAGTAATTTCAGAGTTGTGGACAAGGCTGTATCCAGAGATTGAGAAGGAAACAGAAAATTCTACCTGGGGCTAAGTTCCTGTTTGGAATTTGAGGCCAAAATTGCTGAATGTTGCCCAGTGGACCTATTGATATGCAATGGGTGTTGCTAACTCCTCACACAGGAGACTTTTTTTTTAACATCTTTATTGGAGTATAATTGTTTTACAATGGTGTGTTAGTTTCTGATGTATAACAAAGTGAATCAGCTATACATATACGTATATCCCCATATCTCCTCCCTCTTACGTCTACAGGAGATGTTTTAATAGAGAGATTTTGACTGAGCCATGGAAGATCTCTGAGGCCAAGAGAAATGAGTATCCCCTCCAGGGAACAGATATGAAGATGGTACCCAAATATGGGTAGCATTTGCCCCTTTTCCAGCACCTCTCAGTCACTCACTGTTTAGCCTTGAGACAATCTAGGTGGTGGCATCCATGGTATGTGGTCAAAAAGTTCTGAGAGTCATTGTGAGTCATCATGACTCCTCTTGGGTCTGACCAATCAGGCCCTGACACTCAGAATAAGACAGGGAGAGAGAGAATTCTCCCTCTCACTTCTTGCCATCTCTTCAGGGTGCTCCTTCCAGAGAAACCTGAGTGGTCTGAGAGGCAACGTATCCAGATATACCAAGGTAATGTAATATTGTTTTGTACCATCACCATACTACTCCGCCTGATGAACCCCAACCCTACTAGAGAAAAGGGGGAAGAGTATGGGACTGTCGTTTGCTTATAGAGAAGTGATGTGTGAGTGTGGCAGGGAGATTGTGAGGGCAAGAGGCCCCAGGGTCCACTGGATTAAGTGGGTTTCATCGTCTTTTTCAGGCCGTCTCGGTTGTGCTGTCTTCCTGAAGCCATTTGTGGCGTCAACCAGTCATGGATAAAGGAACCTCTGAAGTCAGTCCCAACATGCCTACATTGACCATCAAGAAGAAAGAAAAATCCAAGAAGGTCACCAACAGTGTGGTGATCTTTTTACTTGCTAGGCAACTGGGGAAGCACAGAAGTGATGTGGATTTGTCCAGGTGGGTGTGGATGCTGAATTAAGTCACACCCAGGGCCAAGAAGTCATAAAATTTTAGAAAAAAAATTTTTTTTTCTAAAATTTAATCTTAGAAAACAAAAAAGACAACAAAATGTAGAAGAACAAACTCCTCGTTTCAGCTGTTAAAATAAAAGCAGCATCTTCACTCCTTTTGGCTTGATATTTTTTTACGCCGATAGTTTTCCTGACTTACACTGGAGAGGGGATTCTAGTCATCCTAACAGTCTATGCAGGGGCTCTCAGACACAGCAGAGATGGTGAGATCACACTGCATGTCAGATTTCTTTCACCTTTAATCCAAAAAAAAAAGCAAGGGAATAGTTTTGTAGTTCTTGGTCACTCAAGGACCCAAGTCTCCTGTCCCCTACGTGTTTTGGAAAGACATCCACTGTGTTCGTTCCCCTCTAAAACCTGGTTGCTTATCCTGGTGAGAAGACATTAAGAACAGGTCATGAGTCGGGGCGGGGGTGCACTTAGGATACTCTTTTTTAAATTTTGATGCTCATGAGAATATCATTTAGATATTCTACAGCATCAAAGAGTCTTTGTTGGTTCTATTTAATATGAAAACATCAGAACACAAGGCATTTAGAAATGGGAGCATCGTGCCTTCAAGGCCTTCTAAAGGTATTTGTTCTTGTTATTCTCCCCAAATAAGTGGAATCCCAGTTCCCTTTATCTGTGCCATGTGAAGCACACCTGTTCAGGCCACAGCTGGGTGGAGAAAATCCACTGGACTGAAGTGAGGCCAGCTCCTAGGTCAACTGCGAGGGCACCCACAAAGAGAGCTTCCCAAAGGGATGTGCTGGGAGAGCCAGATGTTCACTGGGAGACATTGGAAACAGAAGTGCGTGGGAAATTGGGCACCCAGAGCGGGAGCTAAGCTGGAGGGGGGACAGGGAGAGCTGGGCGGCAGGAGCAGTGTGGGTGTGGGGAAGCCTGCTCACCAGTGAGATGCTTGGCTGATCCTGCCTGCCTCAGACTTGGCTGACTCCCCAGAGTGATTGGTACCCATACTCCACATCTCCCAGGGGTGGCCTGACCATCCGCGGAGGACTGACTGCTGCGGGAGGCATCACATGCACTCGTGTGACCTCTGACCCCTCACCCGCAGAGTGGGGAGGCATGGACTCACGTGAGGTTCTGGGTGGGTTCAAGCCCAGAGAGGGCCTCCTCACAGAGGTTCGGTGATGTGCTGAACTTACAGGAGGAAAATATCCCTCACGTACTGGGAGCATGAGGTCTCAAGCATCACAAATGCGAAATTCAAAAGGGGACTGGCTGGCAAAAAGAGAGAGACAGACAGACGGAAACAGACGGAGACAGAGGCAGAAAGAGAGATTTGGTTGGGATCCTCCTAAATGAAGTTTTCTCAGGAGATGTTTGTGGAGGCCATAACAGAGAATCTGGATGCAGGTGAGGCTCAGGGACTAGAGGTTGATTGGAGAGCGCCTCACGCTGTGTCACGGAATTATATACTGTCTCCTTCCGCTCTTTAATTTCTGTCTGCTGTCTCTCATTGGCCAAAGCTATCTGCCAGCCAGAGAACAAGAAAACCACAGTAACGCAGTCTATGGGTTTCAGCTTCCTGGGGCATAGAGCAGTGGAAAGAAGGGAGTAGGATTTACCTTTCGGACAAACAGTAAGTAGAACAAGCCGCTGCTTTTTCCACAGCTAGCACCCACTGTTGATTTGCTCAGACGAAGAAATGCTTTGCCCAGCACAGGGTAACATAGTGCTATCAGCCACCTTATCACTGAAAGGTGAGATCAATTTGGCCATAGTCCTGTCTGGAACCTAAACTATAACCTTAGTGGTCAGCTACCAGTTTTGTTGCCCGAAGACCTAAAAATGGGCAGGAGACAATGATCAATGTCAGTTTCCAATTTAACAGAAGTATGGCAATGTTCCATGGGAGAGGCGTTCTTGCCTTGAGTACTCTAACCTTCAGACCCTCCAAGCCCAGCTTTGAGGGGAAAGACAGGGAAATAAAAATCTGTAATTGTCTTTTTAGGTATAAGAATGGGAGGAGTCACTGTCTACCCATCCTGGCCTGGGGGAATGGCACCATAGGTCGCTTGTGGGTCCAGAGCTTGATCTGCTGTCTCTCGGACAGCCCTCCAGCCTTGCAGGCTTCTGTCTCCTATATAGAAGTCTCAGCACACTATTCCAGCACCATATGAGGCCAGATGCTTCTGTGGGATGGCAAGACCAGTGGATTGCAAGGGCCTGGGCTCACATACAGATTCAGCTGCTGTTGAAAGTGTTACTGGACAAAAGTAATGTCAGAAAAATTGTTCATGAGTCCAAGAATTATGGCTCTCATAGAATGACTAAGAATGAGGAAGGCAAATCTAAATCCTGAATACATGTACACCCTTTTGTGGAAAATTTAAGCAGCTCTCCCTGGTGAAGTAATACTAGGCACATATTGGGTGTTTGCTAAGAACTTAAGGAGGTACTAAATAGTGCCTCTCATTTTCAGAGAACTTTGGAAATGCTCTTCTCTAGGGAAACGAGTGGAAGTGAGCCAATGCCCTCCCTTTGTGGTTTTCTGAACCAGAACTGACTTCTCCTAACCTCTCCTGAAGCCAGTGGCTCTCCTGACATTTGAATATACATTGATCTCAGCACCCTTGCACAAGGGACGAAGGAGGGATTCCCTGGCCTAAATAGTATGAGATACCTGAACACACAATACCCAATTCTGGACAGATGGGATTGGAAGCAGTTATTAGTCACATATTCTCACAGCCCAGGAAAGGAGGACATGGCACATCATGCAGGACCACACAGGGGTTGCACTCAGGACCTGAGGGAACCAGGAGGAACTGGGGGAGGTAGGTTTTGTAGAGACAAGAATGAGGATTAGCCCTTCATTCATATGGGAGGATGTAATTGGTTTGTTTGAATAATTCTGGTTAAGGACCAGGTGCACTGCAGCCAGTCCAGCCAATATGGGAACTACCTGGGTGTGGAGCTTTGCCCACTGGGTCGGGAGCATATCTTGCAAAAGCAGGGGGAATCGTGGCTAGGCCTTTGGGACCCTGTGAGGCTCAGAGATGTCAAGGCAGCACACGGAATTTCAGGCCTTGCGACACACAGCAGTGGATGAAATCACTGAGGAGGGAATGAACTGAGGAGAGGAGTGAGTCCACAAAGAACTTTGAAGAAGGCTGAGACATTAAGGGTGCACTCAGCAATTGATAGACAGCAACTAGGCAGTCAGGAAGAACGAGCGATGGGTGTAGAAGCTACGATACAGTGGGACATGGCTTGATGTTTTGGTGTACCTACAATGCAAGGAATTTTAGAGCATCCTGGTATTAGTTCTATCATCTCTCTAGCTCTCACAACTTCTCCTCCAAAATCTGTAGGCCATTTGCCTTTTTGCTCTCAGGTGGATGCCATGTCATATGGGCTGGAGATGATGCCTCTGGGATCCCACAAGTTGTAGGTATTTCAGAACAGATTCTTCAGAACTTGCCTGGGCACACAAAGTGCACCACTAACCATATTCACCAACTTCCCTCTTCCAGCTCCAGATATGTCTTCCTATGCCTTTACGAAACTGGCTTAAGGAGTGTTTCTACATAATGTCTAAAAATATTTATTCTGAGAAACAGTAGGACAACTTGTAGTAAAAATAGAGGAATTCTAAAACTGTAGATTTCAGTACTGAGCTTGCAAAATTAGTTGATGGAGATCCATGAAAAAATTTTGAAACCATTTGCAACTGTGTATCCATTTATTAATTGATGTGATAAAGCTAAGAGTTGTTACGATCTACAGACCAGGCAGTACTTAGGGCCAGTTCACCCCGCTACCCTGACTCCCCCAGGGAACCTTTAAATGACAATTAGAAGCTCTCAGCCTGGGTGGAGAGGGGCAGGACCTGGAGAAAGAGACAGCACAGAGGGACAAGTGGTGTTAAACTCCCTCAATATCATATATTCCCTGTATACATATATTTCCAGATATATTATATTTAAGTTGGCACTTTAATTATTGAAATAATTACTGATAATAACAACACTCATCAATTCATTCAAAAATATTTATTGACATTTCTGTGTGCTAGCCATACGACAGTGATCAAAAGATACAAATATTCCCGCCCTCGTTGAGCTTACATTATAATTAAGATTTGTTGATTTCTCAGGGCCCGTGCCAAACATTTCATGGGCATAGTATATTCCTTTCAATAATACTATGGAGTAGGTACTTTTAGCCTTGTGTTTCACATAAGGAAGCTATGATTCAAATAACTTCAATAACTTGCCTAAGATAAAGCACGGTACCTTGTAAAAATGGGTTTCAAATCCAAGTGGAGCTTCATCTAAAATCTGTGCTCTTAAATACTATGCTACTATGTTACCATTTATTTTTTTATTTTTTATTTTTTTAAAGGTGTAAACTCTTTTTTAAAATTTATTTATTTATTTTTGGCTCTGTTGGGTCTTCGTTTCTGTGTGAGGGCTTTCTCCAGTTGTGGCAAGCGGGGGCCACTGTTCATCGCGGTGCGCAGGCCTCTCACTGTTGCGGCCTCTCCCGTTGTGGAGCACAGGCTCCAGACGCGCAGAGCTCAGTAGTTGTGGCTCATGGGCTTAGTTGCTCCGCGGCATGTGGGATCCTCCCAGACCAGGGCTCGAACCCGTGTCCTTTGCATTGGCAGGCAGATTCCCAACCACTGCGCCAGCAGGGAAGCCCAGTTGCCATTTATTTTTAAACTACCTAAAACTGTAGCTGAATATATGGTCATAGAATATCCACATGACTACTGAGTATTTAAGTTTTATTTAATAAATGCCAACAAATTCTACTAAGTTTTATTTAATGAATGAATAAAAGTATTTAATTATTTATTTAATAAATGGCAATTCCTCAGAGTCAATCATGACATGAATATTAAATTGTAGAACTCATTTTCTATTAACTTTGGTAGATTCTTTCTGTACTTTGTGAATTTACACGTGGCAATGTATGACAATGTAGGACAACATAGACAATTTTTCAATTAAACTTGGAAGAGGAAAGGAGATATTTACTAAAGTTTTGGGAAGATAAGAAGAGATTATATCACATGTCACACAGTTAAACTTTCTAAAAAAATTCTCTCTAGTTTCCCAAGTTTCACCTA